TTACAGCTTTGAATGTAAACAGCAAAGTCAATTTCATTATAGGAACATAATTGACCCAAGCTGCACTAAGTAAAATGTGAATTAAAATTCTAAATGCGTGGCTGTTGTTTGACATGGATGAGGTTACTTTATTCCTTGTGGGTTTTCGGTATCATTAACTCTGGGTTTGGTGTTTGTTTTTCTTGTCTCATTCTCTGCATATTCAGATTGTTTCAGTTAGAGCAAGTGCGTGTATCTCCTTATCCTCAAGCCTAAACCTTTCCATAATTTCCTTTGAGGCACCAGAATAATATGTGAAAAGTTCTCAGTGTAGCTCTTTCCCAAATTGTTTTATGAAATATACGAGGGTGTTTGTTGTTGGTGGTGGTTTTTAATTTCGAAATTGTTAGTGGGATCTCTGGAAAGCAGATGTTCATTTTTTTGAGTTGCGACAGGGGCCTCAGATGGTGATGAAGGGACAGTCAAAGCTTGAATGTTGAAAAGTATTTTTATTTCTTAAACAGCAGTTTGTGCCATATAAGAACATGAATTCAAATGTAATGGGGCAGGGCTGGGGATGTAGCTCAGTGGTAGGGTGCCTGCCCAGCATGTACAGGGCCCTGGGTTCAGATCCAAGCAGTGCAAAAAGAAACAAAGACAAATGTAATGGGACAGGATTCCAGCTTAGGTCTTGATTGTCATTTCTCAACCTCAGACTGTTGATGATTTGAGTGCAAAAGTTCTCTGTAGTGGAGCACTGTCCTGTGCATGTAGGATGTTCAGCAGCATCCTTGGCCTCTATCTGTTAGATGTCATTAACACCCACCTCCATGTGACAACCATCAATATCTAGACAGTGTTAGGAGTCACATCCCCAGTTATTTTTATTTTTATATTTATGTACCAAGTATTGAACCCAGGGGCATTTAACCACTGGGCTACATCCCCAGCCCTTTAAAAAAATTTTTTTTTTTTTTTTTAATTTTAAGACAGGGTCTCACTAAGTTTGCTTAGTGACTAGCTAAGTGTCTGAGGCTGGTCTTGAACTTGTAGTCCTCCTGTCTTAGCCTCCTGAGTCTTAGTTTTTGAGACAGCACCTCACTAAATTGCTAAAGCTGGCCTTGAGTTTGGATCTTCTGCCTCAGCTTTCCAGTTTTCTTGGGTGCCAGGCATGTACCACAATGTCTGGTTCAGAAACATCTTTACTAGTAGCTATATAAATTATTTTGCTTGTGTTTCCCGCAAGCGTTAACTTTAAAAATAGTTTCCTGATCCTTATAAATTAGTGACCACATGGAAGGTTGAATCTCCCTTGCTGTCATTTTGTAAAACATCTTGTAGTTTTCCAAATGGTGGAAGCAGATTTTGGTCCACAGAGGACATATGTATGTAAGTCCCCCTGATTGTGGGAGCCATTGGGTTTTTGGCTATAGAGCAAAGCCAGTATCACTTTTGCCGTAAAATATATTTTTTAACTGGCATTCATCCTTTTTCCTTTTGGTGAGGGTGGTGAGTATCATATCGTCTTGGGGGGCCATGTTGCATGGACGGTGTGGGCTGCCCTTTTGGAGTTAACCATTTTACTCTTTAAATATGGGCTCTCTATATTCATTTAGATTAATTTTAAATGAAAAAATACTTTTTACTTATAAAGTATCTACTTCTGGAAACAACCCAGTACTATCTCTGGAAGCTTGATTGTTACTTAAAAATTTCCTTGGAAGAGAGCGGGAGCAAATGATGTCCTCCTTTTTTGCAGAGGTAGGGACAGGCATTGAGAAGTGAAATGAAAGAGGTGGTGCTCGTGAAATCTATGAACGAACTTACATTGGTCACTGCTGTTAAGGCTGGATAGTGGTGGTGGATCTTTCCCTGGGTGCATGGGACTGGGTGCTTTGGAGAGCATCTCACAGGCTGGGCATGGAGAGAAGGGTGAAGTATCCAGTGGAAACTGCCCTCTTTTGTGCTGGCAACAGGACTGGGTTGCTGGAGTTACGGGAGAAATGCTCTTTAGAGCATGTTTTACAAAACAGAAATTTGCAAGTCCTCCCACTGGCTCAGAGCTTCCTGGCTAGACTGCTGTGAATGAGTCTCATCTGGGAAAATGGGAGTCCAGTACCTATGTTTCCTGCCTTAAGATTGTTCTGAGCTCAGGCTGGATAATGAGCATGGATATATTATAGTATCCAGGAGCACTGCCTAGCAGGATCAAGAGATAGAATGTGAGGCAGTAGATCCCCATCTCCTGGAACCACAGCATCTTCCACAGTGGGGACCCATCTGGTTGCTACTTACTATTTCTAGTTTGATAAGATTTTCCTTTTCTTCATGAAGTTGGGAGGTGGGGGACGCAGCAGCAGCATTCGAGATGGCTGAGCTCAGGATGAAAGAACCCAATGCCTGTTTCCTCTAGTGATAGACAGCTATTTTCTTCAGGGGGCCTGGAAAGCCAGAGTAGGGTAGACATGGGAGTTCTCTGTGGCCAGGTATGCTGTTGAATGTCCCTGTTGCTGGTTATCAGCTTAACTGTTGGGTTTAAAGCATAGATCTACACAGATTACTTCACAGCTGTGACAAAGCCCTGTTGTTACATAAGCTAGTCCTTCTTTTCAGTAATATGTCAGGGTCTGCTTTCCCATTTATATTTCTGGAGGCTAACCTGGACTTTGGGGGTAAAGTCTCTACTTCCATCTTGTGTTTCCAGATACAAATCTGGTACATTTGATCCCATCTCCAAAGGGGCCCTTCCAGTGGCTCCATTCTGGATATTTTGGGGAGTGGGGATGCAGAGAGGGGATAGAATGCTGTCTTCCACCCTGTAGTTACATCTCTTCCCCTCTGCTTGGCCTCTCTCATCTTCTTTTAATCAGTGCCGTGCTTAATTACCCCGCTGCACTTGCTTGTGTATGCATCATTGCCTTCCCCCCCAGAAGCCGGACATAGCTCTTACTCTCCAAGTAATGATAGTAATTGCTGGTAGGGCAGACCTGCTCCTCATCCTTCTCTGAGCACATTTCTTATGGCAGGTGTCTAGTTCCTAATTAAGTGCTAATGAGCATGCCTAGTGGACCGTGATGCCGCTGCCAGCTTCTTCAGTTTTATGTCTCACTGCTGCCCAGCCCTTAGAAAGTGACAGAGCAAGATTTAGTGTCTTTGGGATGACAGGAAGGCGATTTTACACATAAAGAAATTGTTATTATGATCTCAGATGGTGAATGAGTAGTTTTTAAATGCTTTTCAGGAATGCTGTTAAGGTCACTCCCCACCCCTTTTCCATTTCTCCCTCTAATTTCAGTGAGGCTCTCTAAAAAAGGAATGGAAGTTTAAAGATGTTGCACTCTTAAAGATTTTTTTTTTTTTTTATGTCCACCATGGTGGTGCAGGCCTATAATCCAGCAACTTAGCCAGACCGAGTCTCAAAAAATAAAAAGAGTTGGGGTTGTAGCTCAGGAGTGGAGCCGCCCCTGAGTTCAACCCCCCTGTATGTACAATGTGCACAAAAATTTCTTTTAAAGGTTATAGGAGTGGTTGAACATTTACTGTATAATTGCAGCAGCTACTGCTTTCTGATTTTAAGATGGTGATTTATTCTTGGGTGGGAAGCATGTTTGGGTCTCAACTAAAAATCTGTGGTCTGGGTGGAAGTGACTGTAGATCTGGCATGAAGATTTAATGTATTCAGTACGTGCAAAGGGATGATAAATAAAACGAGTAATTGAGTCCCAGGGAAGTGAGCACAAATCAGAATCTTAAGAATTTTCTAACATTACACCTTAGAAATTGAGCTTTAATCGTTTTTACTGTCTCATCAAAAACGCGTTTTATGTTGGACAGCTGAAATGTGTCCAGATTTATGATGCAGGGGCCATTTCTTGGATACTTTCTCATTTTGTACAACATGCTTTTAAATATAATATATGAGAGAAGCGGTTCTGTATAATGTGAACAGATTTATGACCTTTGGAGTGGGTGATGCGACAGAGGCCCAGTGCTGTGGTGGGAGGGGGCCCCGGGTCTCCCTGGCTGGAGTCCCATACCGGTCAGTGAGACGTGTTTTCCTTGTCAAACTTCTTATCCTCTCTGGGTCCCAGTGTCAGTGTTTTCATCTGTTACAGGAAGAGTGGGGTTGAGGTAGGGGGTTTGGGAGAAAGGGCCCGTAAGCAAAGCTTTATCTCTGAGGTTTCTTTTAGCTGTCACGACCCCTGACCCCCACCCCCAAGGAACGGTATGAGAAGGAGTGCAGCTCTATGGGGCTTTGGAAATGACTGCAGTCCTTTGCTGCCTCGGGCGGGGGGAAAACCTCAGTAGTGCCTTTGAGCCTGGGTTCCTTCTGAGAAATGGGAACATCATGCTTTCTCACAGTTCAGGGAGGACTTGGTGACACAGGGACATATAAGCCTGAATGGTGCTGGAGAGAGAGCTAGACACTACTTTGGTTTTTTGGGGGTGGTTCTGTTGATTGAAGGTAACATTTGATTTTGTCTCATCATAGCTTGTGTTAGGGTAAAGTGCAATGACCAGGTCACTGGGACTAGTCAGGGTGTGGTTGTTGCACTGTCGGTTGAACGTTACTACCCCCAACTCCACTGCTCGGAAATCAAGAGGAGACTTAAAATCTGCAGCATCTTAGATTCAGTGACACACTGGATTTTGTCCCTGGAGGCGCTTAGAGATGAAACTTGTGTTTAAGTGTTTACTGACTTAGCCAGACTTGCTTTATAATAAGCATCTCTACTCCCAGGGCATGAGATATGCCAGGAAGTGACAGTGTAGATTGGAGGGTTTGATTTTTGGGATGGTGGGGAGAAGTTATTGCAAGGGTGAAAGCTTTTGATGAATTGAAAGTACTAATCTTATTTTCCCCCCTTTCTTCCCTGTCTCTGTCCCTTCTGTGTGTATGTCCAATGTCCTGTCTGTTTCTTGCATCCTCTCTTGTGTTTCTCCCCTCTGGGTGTGCTTCATCCCCACCACCACCACGTCCTCCTCCTGTTCCCCCATCCTCTTCTCACCACCGCGAACAGCAGCAGCAGTTGCAAGCTCAGCATCTTTCTCATGGCCACGGACCCCCGGTACCCCTAACGCCTCACCCTTCAGGACTGCAGCCTCCTGGCATCCCGCCCCTCGGGGGCAGTGCCAGCCTTCTCGCGCTGTCTAGTGCTCTGAGTGGGCAGTCTCACTTGGCAATAAAAGATGACAAGAAGCACCATGATGCAGAGCACCACAGAGGTGAGAGGCCGGGCAAACCGGATTAGGACTTTGACCTCATACTCAGTGCTGCAAAGTTGCGTGCATCGCTAACGAAAGCCCCAACCTATACAGAGAGCAAACAATGAGATAAGAGGAACTGTCGCAAAGCTTTCACTGACACACAATTCAATTCACCCTGGAAGTTTGCAGGGTTTGCCGTGGGCATCGTAGATTTCTCGATCTCACTAGATTTGCAGGCATCTTGACATCTTGGCAACTGCCTAGTTAATGCCAGTGGCCTGTACCATATTATGGAAAACTGTTAACTGCTTAATTGGGTAATTTTCAAAGAAAGTAATGTTGTTAAATGGGGCGAAATAAGAAGTTAAATTTGAAAGTGAATGTGTTTAAATGAAAGGTTTGATAATTGCATCTGTTACTACTTAGTTTCATAGGCTTTAATTCTAGTATGCATTAAATATTGGGCAAAATTGCACTTGACTAATTTTTTGAAGAAAAGTAATTTATTCTGTCAAGAAATTTAAAAAAATAGGCTTTGTGAATGGTTAAACTGTAAATCTTATGTTTACAAAATACTGTAATTTTCAGGAAATCACTGTATTAGGAATGTGCAATGACTTATATAAATAAAAGCCATTTTTAAAACTGTTTGGGGCTTGTGTTCTAATTATTCCCCCCTTTTTTTTATTTCTGTTCTTGCCTCTGTGTCTGAACGGGCATGTCTGTGCGTTTCTTGGTAACCTCGGGAGCAGACAGAGAGCCGGGCACAGTAAGTACCCCAGCGCCTGCTGCACACGAACACAGCCCCAACACCTGCCAGCGCCCTCTGCGAACTCAGCGCAGTCAGGCCCACACTCCCCATCTCTCAGTGACCTGGGTTTTTCTTTTTCTTCTCATTAAAAGTATTTGTCTTCTATGACTATTTCCCCTCTTGTCTTTTTTTTTTTTTTTTAAACAAAATTTGTGTTAGACGAGAGGGGCATGATTTGGAGGTGAAGCTGTTTGCAGTAATTGCTTACCTGGAAATACACTTTGATCTGTATGTATCCAGGACCCACTTTAAAAATAGGCTTATCATTGCATTCTGAGACCTGGTTTCATGTAGTTTAAGAATATTCATTTTTATCTTAAATCAGCTTTACAGGCAAGAAGTCACCATCCATATGTGAAGTAAGTTAGTGATGTGTTGCTTCTACTTAAGCCATTCATTATCCTCTGCAAACGCATCTTAGTTGCTAGGTTTCCATATCTAGTTTTCTTTGTATAATTGTTCTTGGAGTACGAACTTGAATTTCCATTTTATTTTGGATATCTAAGCATCTGAGCAAATGCTTACAAACAAGGAAATTCAGTGGGCAGGGATATGTGCTTACAGAGCTCATCTTTTCACCAGACTAAATCGTACCCATTTTATATGATGCACATTTGGATTATACATGCATCTGCTAGTTAGCTGTGGGTAGACCTGTGTTGCAAATGCATCTCTCAAATATCATGGAGCGAATAATGAATGAAAACTTTACCCTCTTCACTTAGGATTGCTACAGTTTTTGCCTCTTTCCCCTTCTTTCTGAACATAACACTATTTTAACCATTTTTAAGACCGTAAAAAATGTGATACTGAATTTTGGAATTATTCTGATACTTTTTCTTCTCATGCTGAGGATGGAATCCAGGGTCCTTAGCATGCCAAGCAAGCGCTTTACTACCGAGCTGTACCTCCCAGCCCTGTTCTGATACTTTTTTGTTAGGAGTTTGGGCAGAAGACATAATTTTTTTCAGTTTGATAATTTTTTTATTTCCCCCTCTCCCTCTTCTGTCTAGAAAAATAGTTGCTTTTAAAATTGTCTTTGAGACAGATCTTTGTGTGCTTCATGTATTAGGATATGTTTAGAGGAGGGGCATGGTTAATGGCAGAGGTCGCTAGTTTTTAAAATTTTCATACTACAAGTTTTCTCTGGAGAACATTGGGAGTGGAGAGGGAGGGACAATATGTTATAGCTAGGAAATAAAATACCCAACACACAAAGTACACATTTAAGTAAACTTGCTTTGATTTATGGAGATGACCTTTATATGTTTTGCCGTCTTGGTATTCCTATAGCTCATCATTATTTTCTGCCGGGTTCATTCAGTAGAGTATCATATCAGACCTAACCCTGGACCAGAAAGCACATGGCAGAAGAAGTTTCGTTGGAAAAGCCCATGTTTACCGTTTTGGGGGTTTTTTTGGGACTTATTTTTTAGCTCTGGGATTGACTTCTTATCCAACTTCCCCCCTCATTATTACTTTTAGACCTCAAATGACTATATTGACTTACACTACATGTAAGGCACTGTGGGATGGGTCTGCAGTTTAAGAGGTATGTAGGCATGTAGCACAATACCTTTTTCAGAAAACCGAGGAGAGATGACAGAAATACAGAAAAACAGAAGAATAGAAAGTTTCAGCAGAAGTTGTGTAACATTGGCATCACAGTTGTGGGAGAGATGCAGCATGCCTTGTGGCTCTGAAATGCTGGAGCTGTGAACTCTGAGGTTTGCACACTGAGGCTGGTACAGGTGTTCCTCACACCTCTGCATGTGTCTATATTTCAGTGTCCAGTATTTTGTTTATTGGCTGAAAAACCTTATTTATTGGGGGAGTTTACTTCATTGGGTGGAGGGAGGTTGATTAGTGTGTCCTTAAAAGAAATACAAATAAGTTCTTGAATTTCAGGGGACTGTATTGTTTTTAAGTGCACATATTCAAGTTAGTAGTCAATCAACTCTCCAGTCAAAATGGAGTGGGTCATTGCATAAGCTGATCTGTGCAATAATGTAAATGAAGTGGTGACTTACGTGTTATTGACTTGTATGTTTTTTCATATCAAATTTGTAACGAGTTTTAGGGGTCATTTCAATGAATGTTTTCAGAATAGTACGAGTACCTGTGTTCTCTGCCTAATTACTGCAGAATGGTGGTGGTGATATGAAATGGGAAGACTGCACTGACTTTAACTGAAATATTTAATTCAGTGAGGAGTTAAATTGTTCACTGTCCCCATAAGGGGGATTTTGCATTACAGTTATATAAAATTAAAGAGCTCTTCAAACTTGGTATAAAATTGAGTATAAGAAACGGTGAATAATGTGATGTGTGTACTATTAGGCCCTAAAATATAAAAATATACATAAAATATATATAAAAATAGGAACTCACTTATTTAATAAAGTGGTTTGAATTATGAAGTCTGATTTCACTTGGCAGAGAAGTCAATTGATTGCACTGCTGCCTCTTTTTTTTTTAAGCCAACAGAGGTAAAGGGCCTCTGGAGCAATGTTTTTCAAAACTTGTGGTCTCAGATGTTTGTTTCTCCCTTCAAATTAAAATTGAGGACCCCTAAGAACTTGTTTTTCTTGATTTTTTTATTGAATTGGAAGAAAAAATTTAAATCACTGTAGGATAAGTATCATTAATGAGAAACCCCATTTTCCAAAACAAATTTTTTAGGGTGAATTGGCATTCTTTTACATGTTTGCAAACTTCTTTAGTGCCTGGCTTAAAAGAGGTTAGGTAGTTTCTGATCAGCTTCTGTATTTGATTTGTTATGATACAATTGTTTTTGTTGTTTGGGAAGGAAATCTGCCATCATAGAGATCAAGGGTCTCTGGAACACTCATGGGTCCTTGGACCAAACTCTGAGAACCTCAGCTCTCAATGAGACTAAGACTTATTATTACCTTTTTCTGTTCTATGTTGAATATACTTAAATCAAGTGCCCCCAAAATTCAGAGACTTAGATGAATCTAGATGGAATTGCCGATATGTTTGGATTTTTAGCTGTGAGCCTAAAATGGGTTGGTAGATTGTGTGTGTGTGTGTGTGTGTGTGTGTGTGTGTGTGAGAGAGAGAGAGAGAAAGAGAGAGAGGATTATTCAGTTTACTTGTTTAAGCTTTTATGGTAGGAAAACAAATGAGCCTTAATATAAGCAATCTGTTTTGATGTAAAACCTGGAAAATGAAAGTAATAACAGTGAAAATATGAATACTTAAAGTTCCTGTTTCTGAGCAGGGGACATGATGAAGCCAGTAATTTTTTAGGGATGTTCTGTGTTTTTGTGCTTGGTTTTAAATTTGACTCTTTTTTAATTCTTTGAACCTCTTTCTTTCTTCCTTTTTTTTTCTTTTAATGTATAAGTTTCCTTATGAGAGAGCAGCTGCTGAGCAAAGATAGATGAAATGACCTTAAGAAAGGCTGTTATTTCTTCAGTAGTATATGATAGTAATAAAAAACTTTAGATGTTTCAATTAATTTAAAGATAAAGAGCATTAGATGTTGGCTGAATGAAATGTCATTTAAATACATCTGCTTGAAAGACTTGGGACTACAGAATCAACAAAGAGTTGTGGCTTTTAATGAATACAGTAATGTGTGTTTAAAAAATACCTTGATTCAGTTAATAAATGCTTGCTGAGCACTCAATATGTGCCAAGCATGGTTTGAGGTGGTACATACATTTGCTGCCATTTTTCATTCATCCCCCTTAATATCACAGATAAATGACTTTTGTAATAACACTGAAATCTAATTCATGTGATTGGTATTTGAAAAAACAAGGAGTATCCTGGGGTGTCTGGGGGAGACTCTAGAGGATAGATAGGATGTGTTCATTTAGGCAGGGCTCATGATTGGGCTCTGAAGGTGTGTGCATGCTTGTTGTGGGTCAGTGACCTTGTGTGTGGTTCTGGGGACAGATCAGATCTCAGCAAAATTTTAAAAGGGGTTCCTGATCCAGAAAAGTTTGAGCACTATTTACCTATCTTGTCAGTCAGAAGACAGCACCATCATTTTATCAGTGAGACAGCTCAAGGAGACTGGTGCTTCTAGTCACATGGTTACATGATAATAGAGGTTGAGATTTAGATCATGTCCTAGGGACTGTGCTGTCACTCCATAACTGACCTTGAAAAGCTTCAGGGGTTCATGTTTGGAACTTAAAGGTAGTCATGGCAACCAAAATGGTCACTTTTTTTCCCCCCCTTTTCCAGCTTTTCTTGACTAGCTAATTGACAGAGCTGGGATTAGCTCCAAATTCAGAACCACCCAAAGTTTTTACTTTTTCTTAGAATGACATTAAATGTTATAGAGGATCAGAAGGAAATTAAGACCTTTTTTTTTTTTTTTAGAAATTAGTATGGGTCTTTTTCCTGAAAATTTTTGAGCCACAACAGCATTTAAGGGTGGTAAAAAGAAGATGAATTTTGGTGAAGGCAGATCCCTGGGAGTTTCTGGCTCTTAGGCAAGGCTCCCCTCTGTAACTGGTGAGTACAGTAGTGGTTGCCCAGCAGAGCAGGCGGGTGCTTCAGGAGTGGTCCTCACCCATTTGCAGAGTAGCAGCAAGGCGATAAGTGCTTTATCACTTGCAGTTAATGCAATTATTTGTGGTTCCTTCCTTGTAATCCCAGTGGCTAAGGGGAGGCTAAGGCAGGAGGATGGCAAGTTCAGAGCTAGGGTCAGCAACTTAGGCTGTAGGTAACTTAAGGAGATCCTGTCTCAAAAAATAAAAAGGACAGGGGGATGAGGATCAATGATAAAGTGTCTTTGCGTTCAATCCCTAGTACCAAAAACACACAAATTGTATCGGGGTGCAGTAATTTGCTAGATCTACCTGGGAAAGTTAGCAAGACCCCATGTCAAAATAAATTTAAAAGGACTCAGTGCCATGCCCCCCACCTCCAAAAAAATGCAGATTTTATCAGGAACTCTGTGAAAGTGAGAATCTATGTCTTGGGGCACTTACTGATGGTTCTTTGTGTCAGCATCTTGAAATAGCCCAGCTCTTATTAACTCATCACTTTCACCTAACTTACAGGGACTAGCAAGA